CCCCTCCCCCCACGCCTGCTCACCTCCCAAGCCCCGCCCCTCCACCCGGCCCCACCCACCTACGCCCCGCCCCTACCGGCGCCTTCTCAGCTTAGGCAAACTTTACTAATTTCACTTGCCGCTCTTGCTGTTCTGTCCCCGGCCCTGAGGCGGGCTCTAAGGCCCCAGTCCCTGTCCTTAAGAAGGAAGAGGAAACCCCCAAATCCCTCACCCCCCAGCACGACCGCCTCCTCTATTGCAGATCCTGGGTATCTACAAGCAGGGCCTCAAATGCCGAGGTGAGATGGACTGAACGACAGGGCTTCCGGGACGGGTTTTCTGGGAGAGTTACTCTCTGGGTGGTGATTCTTATTTTGGTGGGGCAATTGCCAAGGAATAAAGTGCCTTGGAACCAGAGAGGCATGCTGATTGATGTGGAGGGGATAGTCTTTAAGGGGGATTTTATTTTGGTGAGGCAGCTCCAGGAACAGAGAGCTTTGGGGAGGGCATAGACTGTCAATTAGGATGAAGAGAGCACTTTGGAAGGAAACTCTTATTTTTGTGGGACAGCTGCTCAGGAGCAAAATACCTGGGGAGAGGAGCAGACCTGGAGGATGGGATGGAGGGTGTTCTGACAAATGGCCCTTGCTGGGCTCCCCATCTGCCCTCCCCTAGCCTGTGGTGTCAACTGCCACAAGCAGTGCAAGGACCGCCTGTCAGTGGAGTGCCGGCGTCGGGCCCAGAGTGTGAGTCTGGAGGGGTCTGCACCCTCACCCACACACACCCACCATCGCGCCTTCAGCTTCTCCCTGCCCCGCCCTGGCAGGCGAGGCTCCCGGCCTCCAGGTAAGAGGGACTCTCGTTCTGCTGTGGCCTGTGGAGGGAGGGAGGCAGGGCCACTGTGGCAAGTACTAACTTATCCAGGATAGAAACCACTCCAGAGTTGGTAATTCTCTTATTTCAGTGGGATAATAAAGAAGGGTGGACAGGTAAGGGTGCCAGAAGGTGGCCAGGGAGCCTTCAACCTTCTGAGGCTGAGAAGGAGAGAGACCCTACTTAATGAAGAATTGTAAAAGTGAAAGAGACTTCAAGATTTCAGTCACACTCTTATTTTGTTAGAGGGATTCACAAAGGATTCTAGAAGGTGTTATGTGAGCCATTTGCCTGCATTTTCTTTTGTGGCCGCTCTAGAGACTGTTCTGAGAAAAGCCCCTTACCCTGATAATCTCCCAGTGGCTCTCTTGGGGTCTCTGGTGGTTTTAGATCAGTTTGCTGAATGACAATTTGCCAAATGATTATTTTGCTGAGAAGCGTCTGAACAACTATGTTAAACCGGGCTCTGAGGCAGTTGACCACAACCGTTGGGGTTGGCATTAGTCCTCAAAAACACAGGCATGCATAGGGCGTAAGTCCTCAAAAATAGAAAAGATGAAACCATTTGCATTGAGTCTTCCAGAAGTGCTGGGGTCTAAAATGTGAAATACACACAACATTGACATTTAAGCAAACAGCACTGACAAATCTGTGGCTGCAAAAAAGCTGCGGCAAAACAAAAACTTAGGAAAAGAGCCTCAAAAATGGGGCCGTTTTGTCATTCAGAGAATTGATTTTTTGGTGGATGGTTCTGCTTCTGGGATGGGGCTGGTGCCTCCTGTGACTGGGGGAGGGGCTGCGAGGTCACAGGGACCCAGGAGTGGGTTCTGCGACACACTCTCTCCTGCAGAGATCCGAGAGGAGGAGGTGCAGGCGGTGGAGGATGGAGTGTTTGACATCCACTTGTAATAGATGGTGAGTCCTCCCATAGCCTGCACCAGAGCCTCCCCACTGAGTCTGGGTTTGGGGGTCGGTGTATCAAGGAAATGGGTGCTCTATCCAAATGGCCCAGGCCAAGCAGACTCCTACCTCGCTGGGGGTACGAGTCTTCCTCACAACCTCTGTTTTTCTCTTCCCAGCTGTGACTGGATCAAGACTCATTCCTGCCTTGGAGAAAAGACTTGGACCAGAGCAGGGAGCCAGGGGGATGGGGATGGGGCGGGGCTGGGACAGGAGCCTGGGGCTGGGGGCGGGGCGTGAGGGTGGCATGCATTGAGGGCAGGACCAGGGCTGGTGTCCCTAAGGTGTACAGACTGTTGTGAATATTTGTATTTTCCAGATGGAATAAAAAGGCCCGTGTAGTTAACCTGGACCATCCAAGCCTAGAATCCTGGGGGGCTGGACTTATAAAGACTACAGACTTGGGATCTAGACCTATGAAGCCAGAGAAACTTGGGGGAGGTCTGGAATCTCATGTGTTTGGAATCTTGGGGGATAAAACCTTAGAATCAGAAAACCTTGGAACATAAGACTTTGGGGAAGGGTCTAGAATCTTGAGCAATCCAGAATCTTGGGGATCTAAAACTTGAAACTGGCGTATCTTTGTACCCAGAATTGCTGAGCCCAGTCATCATGTATAACCATAGCCTTCAGCCCACAGCCAAAATTCCCCTGTTTGACAGGTGGCCTTTCGGCCCCTGTTTGAACACTACCAGCAATGGGGCTCTCACTGCAGGAATTGGGAGGGAGGGGGCAGCCCAGAGTGCTGGCTTGTGGGGAGAGAAGGCGGAGGGAGAAGCAGTCATAGGCTCTACTGGGCATGCGCCTCAGGGTGGGGGCTGCACTTTTTGGCCCTGCAGCCTCCTGGCCTGGTGCTGCTGCCAGCCGGAAGGACAGTGACTTCCAGAGGAAATGCATATTGATCCTGCTCTCAGCCTCTGGCGGCCTCTCCCAACCCAGCTCTTCCCTCCTGAGCTTGCAGCATGGAGGTTTTGGGGGTCACTGCTATCTGAAGAAGGCTAAGGCTGGTTTGCATGGGCAGGGTGGACTGGGAGTTTCCTAAAGGTTCTGAAGCTGGGTCAGGCCATCTCTGGGGTCAGGCGACTCCAGAAAGCAGCCCTGAGAATGGGAGCTACCTCCCCAGCCCCTCAAACTGGGGGGGGTGTCCTACAGCAGCGGTGGGACTGTCCTGGAGGTGGAAACCTGAGCACCCCCAACTCCTACCTGCAAAGCACAATATCTCCAGACTTGGCAATGGCCTCAGCTCCCTCATGAATGCTCTAGCTGCCTCCCCCAGGATTCCTCCACTTCATGTCCATCTCTAGCTTTGAGACCCCACTCCCTCTAGCCTATTCCTTATTTTGGGTCACCCCCTTCGCCTTCCCTGTTACATCTCAGCTGCAGCCCTGCCCCCTGTGGGGCCTCTGAGCCCTGTCCCCCACTGGGTTCCCTGCTCTGTCCCTCTTTCTGTCCTCAGCCCCCTCCCGCCCTTCCCCCTCTTGAGGCTGTAATATCCGTTTCACGATTTGGGGGCTGAGTTGCTATAACAACAGACGGCGATGATTGTGTTGTGAAGAGCAGCTCGCTCCTGTGCCGCCTGCCTCCCGTGCTGCCTCCATCCCCACAGCTTGGTCGGTTCTCCTCCCCACCCCACCCCCAGCCCCAGCCTGGCTTCTTCCAGTGTGTGTATATGAGTGTGTATGCCCAGGTCTGCCCCACCTGGGATGTGACGTGTGCCTGTCTTTTCATGGTTGCACGTGTATGAATTTGGTGTCTGAGCTTCACATGTGTGCGTGTATGCATGTGTGCATGTGTGTGTATCAACATGCACGCGGTATTTGCTGTGTTTCTGCTCCCCTGTGTTGTCCCCACTGGCCTGTCCACATGGGGGAAGGGCGTGTGCTCAGCACATCACTTGAGTGTGCACACTGGGTGGGTGCCTGTGTGTGTGGGGTGTCAGTATGCGTGTGGGTGTGTCCCAAAGTGGTGGGCCCCAACTGCATTGGTAGTCTGGACCTTCGACCTTGTAGGAGAGATATTACTGTAGGGGGAGGGGCAGGGAGGTGTGGCAGTTGCCAGGTGACCTTTCCTGCCCTTGATGGGCAAAGCTGGGGGTGGGGACAGGAGACCAGTGCTCACTCTCACCTCCCTCCCTGCCCAGGCTCATCTCTAGGGGTCTGAGAGTCAGTCTGAGTCACTGCACATGTCTATCTGTCTGCCCATATATGCCCTGGTGCCTGGACAGACTGTGTGTGTGTGAGACTGTGATGAGGCTGCAGGAAGAGGAGCAGTGGAGGACGGGCAGGGCAGTGGGCTGTGGGGTCAGAGAAGCAATTTCACATCCACAGGCCCTGACTCAGCAGTTCCCATTCTCTGGCTCCTCCAGTGGCCTTGATGAGGATGACCTGAGGGTCCTTGCAAGGTCAGAGTGGGCCCCAAGCCTGGGACCTGGCTCAGGGATCTCCCTTTCCAACCGCTAGGAAACACCCCTTACAGCCTAGGTGCCCCTCTCAGCCTCTCACAGGATGGGGAAGGACGTTCCTTCTGGGGGTTGGGGTCCACATTCATCCACTGAGTAATTGACCACTCTCTGCAAAGTGCCTCAGGGAGACAGGATGACCCTGTGGGCAGGTCCTGTGTGCACCCGTTCTCCTGGGTATGTATTTGCCTCTGAGTGTGTAGGTATCTGTGTGCACAAGTGTGTATGTGTGTTTTGGGGCAAGTATGTGCTTCTTACAATGGTAGGGCATTTCTGCAGGTGTGCCTGTGTGTCTCTTTGGGAGTGTTTGTGTACACAGGAGTGCAGGGTTGTGAGTGTGCCCTCATGTGCATATGTATGCATTAGTGGTTGAATGTGAGTGTCTTTGCATGTTGCCTCTGGCTAAGGAAGTGCCAACTACTACCAGCTGTGCAGATCAGAGACCTGCAACAGAAATCAGGGTCCTGGAGGGAGCTGGCAGAAGAGACTGACGCGTGCACACACACACACGCACACACACACACACACACACACTCATTCACTCACTCACTCATACACACACCGCCTCCTTCAGAAGCCCAGTGTCCAACTTTGTGGTACACACACTAGGTGCCAGGTCCACCTTGCATTGGCTGAATGAGTGAAGGGGTATCTTCCTCCCCCCACACTCATACACATGCACAGTGATGTAGACGCCTTTATAGGGAAGACCCGCACCCCAATATCACACTCACTCTGAAACTCATGATTGTGGGGAGGAGAACAGAGAAGGGGGATGCTGTCAGCTTCCCTCAGTGACCAGGAATTTGCAGCCGTAACCTTACCCGCAAACCTACTCCTACCCCAGTTCAGGGTTCCAGGCAGGACTGAGAGTCTGGCTTCAAACTCTGGGATTCCTGCGAGGCAGGGCTGGGAACCCCCAAACCCTTAGGTCTACCCCCACCCCCCATCGCTTCCTTTCCCTCCCCCACCACTTCCATCCTTATCCCAGCAAAGTCCCTCCCTTCTCAGTTCTGGTGGCTCCAATCCAGGGGGCCCTCAGGCGGTGAGAGGCAGGGTACCGGCTGGAAAAAGCCCCCAGTGGCCGTGGACAGGGTCCTCCCTCTCTAGGCTCCTCGCAGTCCGGGCCCACGCCTGGACGTAGCCAGCAGAGGGCGCTGCGGCCCGGGCCCCGAACCGGTCCTGCTCCCTCGGTGCCCCAAGTCGGGGTCCACAGCCTCTCCTTCAGCTTGTCACAGCCCTGGGCGCTGGCACACAGACCCGCCGGCCGGGGAGTGCGGAACCCGAGGGCCCAATTCAATGGGAGAGGGGCTAGGGCGCCTGGGTTCCAGGAAAAGGCACTGAAGCTGGGTTGGGGGTCTGCCTAGTTGGCGGCCCGGGCGCCCGGGCTAAGGACCTCGACAGGCGGGGAAGAGCTCGGATGCCTTGGGGCAGGGACGCCTGGGTCCCGCGGAGGGGAGGGAGGTGGGTTTGTGGAGCAGCGGGCCTGGCGGCTTCTGCGCCTTTGCATTGGCTGCGCCGCTCGTCCGTTAGCGCAGCGTGGCCCAATGCGCGCGTCGGGGGGGCGGGCACTGGTGCCGATGCTGCCGTCAGTCGGTGTTGCAGGGATGCGGCGGCGGGAGCAGCCGCCCTGACTCGCGGAGCATCCTCCTCGGAGCGCACCGCGGCGGGGCGGGCGGGCGGGGACGCGTTGGGGAGCGATAGAGGCGCGAGGCGGCCGACACCGCTGGCTCCGGCTCTGCCACTCGCCGGACACGGGGCGGCCCCGGGGCTCTGATCCCCACCCTCCAGCTCCTGGTGCCCC